CCAAACTGGGTGTCGTCTGAGCAGTCAAGTGGGGAGTGAGGAAGGAGCCAGCCTTTGTTCTCCCTCATCAGTATTCACTGCCCACAATGACACTTCGCCCAGGGCTCTGTGTGTGTGTGTGTGTGTTTGTGTGTGTCTGTGTGTCTGTGTGTGTGTGTGTGTGTGTGTGTGTGTGTGAATGAGAGAGAGAGTGTGTGTGTCTATGTGTGAATCTGTGTCTCGGTGTGTGTGTGCACGTATGTGGGAGCGTGTCTGTGTGTGAGTGTGTCTATGTCTTTGTGTGTCTGTGTATGTGTGTGTGTGTGTCTACTGTATGTCTGTGAGTTTGTGTGTCTGTGTGTGTGGATTAGGTTTATATTACATTATGGGGATCAAATGTTCCCCATAATGTAATAAAAACCTGTTATTTTGACATTGTAGGGACCATTTTTCAAGTCCCCACAAAGATTTCTGAATGCAGTCAAAACAGTATAAATGGCAAAAGTCTCGTATTTAATTTGGTTATTTATGGTTAAGGTTTGGGCTGGGTAGGAGTTAAGGTCGTCATGTTGGGATTAGAGTTTTCCCCATAGAAATGAATGGAGAGTCCCCCAAAGATACAATTACAAACCTGTGTGTGTGTGTGTGTGTGTGTGTGTGTGTGTGTGTGTGTGTGTGTGCCCGCATTTGGACATTCTCACGTGCGTGTGTTTGTCATTACATGTGTGTCTGTGTCTCTGGAGGGCAGGCTCTGATTATGTTCAGTTTTTTAATTTAATTTTTCATATTAGGGAATACTGTCTATCATTTTCAGGCTGGAGTCACTCATAATCGGGAAAAAAAACACATTTTTTGCTCCTGATTGCTCCATAATATTTTGTATCATTATTAGGGAAGCAGCAGAGAGGAGCCGGCGGAATAGATGGGTACGGTACGGTGCGTCCCGCTTCTCGATATTCATGCCTGTCCGAGGCAACACTTTCTCAGCCATCAATCTTCTTTAAGGAACAATCTTTAGGATTTTGAGGGAAAGCAGTTTATTTTCGGCTTTCAGCTCCTGAGATATGACTTCTTTATGTATATATATGCTTAGACAGGCAGTTTTTTTCTCCTCCATGGTCATTTATAATATTTACACTTTTCTGATGTCAAATATTTGCAAAAACAATTCTAGTGCCCTCCCCCTCCCCCATTTCCCGGCATTTGAACCCGCAGTGAATGAATGGATAGTCACCTGTATTAAGGTGAAGAGACTGTACAGCATGAGGGGAGTTTGAAGGTTGAATTGTCAGGGCCGCGTTCATCCATTTTAAAATGCGGTGGCGGCGTGACCTTCACACTTTACCTGGAGAGCTCTGCTCCTCATCAGAGGTTGGTGGGGGGGGGCATGAATATTCAGGTCACTCCGGAGGGTAACGCTGATCAAGCGGCCGCCTCTGCTCCTTAACGCCACGTGCCGAGATGGCCGTAATCATCTGGCATCACGGGACGCTTTCCACAAGCTTCATGTTTGAGGCATGAGAACCTGCTGTCAGCGTAGTGCCCAGAACGACAGCCAATCTGAATGAGCAGAAGCAGCTGCGCTGTTTTACTGGGAGGCCAGTCTCCCTGTTTTAACCTCCCCTGCTGTTCTGTCCGTCTCCAGGTCCCCCGAACCACCACGGCCAGTCGAGCCTGCGGCCGCCGCTGCCCCCCTCCCACAACCACCAGACGTTGTCCCACCACAATGCCTCGGGCAACTCGCTGAGGCGCAACTCGCTGACGGGCCGCCGTGGCCACGCGCCCATCTCCGGGCCGGCCGATGGCCCCACCACGCCTGAGTCGGTGCAGCTCCAGGACAGCTGGGCCCTCAACAGTAGCGTGCCGCTTGAGACCAGGTGAGTACAGCTTGCAGGTGCAATGACGTGCATACATGGAAAGGCATGCATACATGGAAAGGCATTCAAACATGGAAAGGTGTGCATATATGGAAAGGCATTCAAACATGGAAAGGTGTGCATACATGGAAAGGCATGGATACCTTGGAAGGCATGCATACACAGAAAGGCGTGCACTCGAAATGATGTGCAAACATGGAAAGTAATGTGCACAGAAATGTATGCACACAAAATGGGGTGTTTGGAAACACAAAATGGTGCTTTGGAAGGTTTGCAAATATGGGAAAGTGTGTACACAGAAAGGCATGCACACAGTATGGCTTGTGGACAGAAAGGCAGCAAATCATAAAAATCACGTAAAGGAATTTGAACACCTGCAGCAACAGTGCAGCTAGCTATATGCAGACCACACCTCAGTGGCAGACACACACACACACACACACACAGGGAATACGCTGGGGTGCTGGTTAACATGCACATGCACGGACAATAAACGGTGGGGCAGCGAGATCTCCCCCCCCCCCACCATCGCATTCCCTTTGTTGCGTCTGAGTCCTGCCAGGTCTGAGCCTCCCGCGCCGCCTCCACAGGCTCTGCTCAGATGTTTTATTCACGAGGGGGCCAAGCCGACCCGGAAACCCGCCGGCACACTCCTCGATCCCACCAGGGCCCGCATCCATGCCCATGTTAGTCTGCCCATTCTCTTTCTGACTGCTGCTTTTGATGCCGTGGCCGAGAATGAAGCCGATGGGTTCCCGGGTGGGGCAGGGCAGGCGGTATATTGCCCCCCGGAGGACGGGAGGTGTCTCTGCAGCTCTGCCTCGTACGAAGCCGACACAGCTGGGTATCCCGCTGCTAATGAGCCTAGGACCCAGACGAGGGGGCCAGGAGGAGCTCAGAGGAGGCGAAAGACAGAGACTGGCTGGCGTTTGATAGCAGCAGCCCATCTGTCAGATGGCCGGCTCTGTACAGAACGTGTCGATATGTCAGAGAGAGCAGCGACAACCCGGCGCTCCAAGCTACCGTAATACGGCAAGTGAGTTATCTTCCTAACGAACATCATAACAATGTGCATAATTTCATTACTGGGCAGCAACAGGCATGCGACAGCCAACTTCGTAATGACACGGCCATCCTGGAAGACGAACGGCCACCCGTGGGAGAGCGTATCGATATTCCAGGTGAAATTCAGCAGGGCGAGCCTCGAACGGTGTGAGTTTCACCGGGTGTTTGTGTTTACCAGACGACGAAGCACAAGTCACAAATCGAGATTACACAGGGGGCCACGATTCGCTGATGCTGTCCTCTAGTGCGGGGAAAACGTCACGCTTTCCGGAAGCTTCCGTGAGAATCTTCCTAAAGGTGACTTTGTGAAGTCTTATAACTAGATATAAATAGGTTTTTAGTGTACACAAAAAGTCTTCCGTTTACATTTCATGCACTCATATTTACCTTGAATCCGTTTTCATGAGGAAGTGAAGCGCTTGTTTATGATACAGTATGTGGCTGTTCTTGAAAAAGGTAAATGTTCAATCATTATATTTTTTATAAAATCCTTCTGAAAATTGGATGTGACTATGAGGTGTTAGGAAGTAATAATTAAAATGCGTTTTGATTGCATTTGACATTTGAATACCTCGAATCCTGAATCTCACAGGTTTTTTTTTTTTTATCTAATTTTGTCAGTGTGTTCCTCTGGCTTGCTACCTTACCTCGTTATCACCTGTTCACAGATCCGCTTGGATGCGGCTCCTCCAGTCATCCCGAGGTGGATAGCGCTCTTTGTTTAAGTCCCAGCCTCGCATCGTAAACTACGGCTAACAAATTCACTGAGTGCAGATAGAACAATATGAATGAGTCACAGCTGAATGATCAGGTCAGGCTTATTCATTCAGTGATATATATATATATATGTATATTCGGTGAAGGACGGAGTTATTTTTACGATGCGAAAACATTTACTGTATATGCAAATTTTATGGCAGTTTGGGAGCCTTTTGGGAAGACTTGTGGAGGACGCTGCCTGCACTGATGGAGGTCTTTCCTTCGCGTCTGTAACCCGAGGCGGATGGAGGGGTTAGGAGATCCTGTAATCCGTTTGACAGGTGACATCATCTCGTTATTTCCCATCAGGCTGCAGTAGAAGGCGACTGGCGGGCCCTTTCCCCTGCGGAACTGGCCGCTACCACGCTACATTTGCCGCGTTGTCTCGCTGTCAGACGTCTCATTCTTGACCCTCCGGAAGCAAAGTCTGTGGGCCACGTCACCGTCACGCGGGCGAGCTTCTGGGTGGGACTCCCAGTGTGGATTTTGGGTTTCTGATAAGGAGCAGAAGGTGTGTTTTCCAAAGCTGACAACCTGTCAGACCACCTCTGTCCCCCCGGTGCGAGACCCCGGAGCCAGTCTCCTCCGGAAGCCTCACTCCCCAGCAGGCTAATTAGCCGACGGCTTTTCGAAACTCCTCCGTTTCCGTCGCCACCTAGCTAACTGTCCGCGTGTCGACAGAAGTTAACGTGGCACGTGTCCACCCCAGCCCGGAATTACACATAAATCATTCTATCATTTATCCAAGCGTCAAACAAATCCTGTAGCTGTGCATGTGTTTCGGGAAATCACTCTTCGTCAGTGAGGCCGTTACATCGAGCGCGATGCACGTTAACGAAGTTTTGCCGCCGTCCCTAAAACTCCGGGAGCCAAATACCTCCACAGGTCAGCTGTTGCTATTGGCGACCCGCCCTGCATCTCCGTGACGACGTCGTCCTCCACACCCCGCTGGCCTGTCCCCAAGCTGCCTGTGACAGGTGTGGCTTTATTGCTGCGTTTATACTCCGCCGACCCTTAATGAATCTGACCTCTGGCCGCTCTCATTAATTTCAGCTTCCGGTCGTCTTCCCGGCTGACAGCGTCCATGAGAGCACTTAAGCCTGTTGGTCATGTCAGCGACTGTGAGAGCGGGAGCTGGGGGGGGGGGGCGTTCCGTACTCCCACTACAGAGGGTAAACATGGGGTGGGGGGGGGTATTTAAGTCAGGGGCCCTCCTTCCATTCCATTTCAAAACAGACGCTGATGAAAACAGACTTTAATAAGGACAGATAGCTCATTATCATGGGAATTACCTACTCATTTTAATTCCTTGTTGTGCTCCCTGGCAAGATCTTATTTACGTTCGTTTCAATAAAACGGGATACCTGGAGAGCTCTGTCGCACACGCCGGCTGCCTGGCGGAGAAAAGCCCGTTACGGTGCTCTGGCCCGGCTCCTCGTGCTGATTGATCGCCGTCTTTTAAAGTTCAATACCTGCCCTGAAATTAAATGCGGAGGAAGAGGAGAGGGGTCTCCCGGCTGGTGTGGGAGGGAGAGGGGGAGCCGCCGCCCCCCTAACGCAGCGCCTACTCCACGCTCTCGGTATACCGTCTGCTTCCGCTCGGCGCAGACGCGAACGAGGCCCTCCACGCTTTTTATAGAAGACCTTTAATTATGAACAGACACGGCGAGCTCAGGGGTAAGCATGGCGGTGCGCGCCGAGCGGCTGACGGCGAACCGCTGCGGAGCCGCTAACATGCGGCGGGAAGCGGCCGCGGCTACGGAAGCAGGCGCCCCGGCGTCCCGGACCGCGGGCCCCCTTATAAAAGCCCTATGAATATTTAACGGCCCCCGTCGCCCTGCACTCAGCGCGCGCACACGCTCGCTCCCCTGAGCCCCATGGCACCCATCTCCCGCCGCCATTACCCACGAGTCCCCGCCTGCTCCCCCGCATCCAGACGCCGCGTCCGCGTCGACGCTGCGCTTATCGTAATGCTGCATTTCAGAAGCATTTATTATGCTCCACGGAGTGCACTAAGCACACATTTAGCTTTAAGTACATCGTTTACAGAGTCATCCGTCGCTTTTAACTGTAAAATAAGTCAGGCTTCGTTCCACGGTTGTCTGCAGGACGCCAGTCCTGCTCCGTGTTCCCACATGCACCCGTTTTGTTGCATTTCCTCCTGTTGGGATTTACCCCCAGACCTGCGTGCGTTTTTTGGGTTTTAGTATTGCGCTGGCTTGTGTTGTGCTTGCTAAGTGTGTTTGCACCAAGCTAATTATGCGCAATTATGTTTTCATCTGCCATAATAATACCTGTATAATTATCTGGCTCAATTGTTTCTGTTCTTCGGAACTAATAATGTTCCCAAGACAAGAGTGGGATGCAGAACGCAGCCAGTTAGTCAATGACGTGCATCTCGTGCTCAAATATTTGCAGTGCTGGTGATAGTGGTGACAGGCATTAATGATGGCTCATGTGTTTAACCAGACAGTGCAAATGCAGTGCGCGGAATGCAGTGCCAGGGATGTTCATTGCACTGACATATTTTTGTAAATTGCAATAAACCATCATTGACCAGAGGCGGGGAGAAACACAGGGAGGAGCTTTCATGCCGTTAATTGACCGTTAATTGGTTAATGATTAATTACTGCTCAGGTGTGATCATTTAGGATGGGTGAAGGCTGTGAAGCAGGTGTGTGAAGGCCGCTGTTAATCTCCACCTGGTCTTTAAAGTCAGAATGAGACGTTTGTGGGTTTAGGGTTGGGGGGGGTTAGAACCGGAACCCTAGTTCTGCCAGTGGAGTTTGCAGTATGGGGTAGCTTCCCTCTCTTAATTTCACAGGTTGCAACGCTCGCTTGTGTGACTGAGCCTCTGCTGGAGCAGGTCGTGACCCCAGGCCCCCGTCTGGGCCGATATACTAAGGAATGAGCCCCCTGGTGGTGGCCTCGGATAGTGACAGTGAAGGGAAATACTTAAGCAGCTCGACCTGGGGGAGAATGTTACCCCAACCAGAAATCGATATGAGTGCATTTGTGATTTTGGGTTTTTAGGGGCCTGGATTGTAGCCCCCTACTGTTCTATGCCCACGTGCCGCCCTAAGCCAGCTTCACCATTGGTGCCCCCTATCTGAGACAAAGTGAAGTCATCGCCCCCCCCAGAATGTGGTAGCCGCCCTAATGTCGCCTAATGAGTT